ATGAGTTAGGGCAAGTACTTAGCATCCCTGTGCCTCAGTTTTATTATGTTCAAAATGGCAACGATAATAACACCTGCCTCAGGGTCTCAGGAAGACTCAGTGAATTCACGTAAAGCCAGGATAAGTACTGGGTAGGTGTTAACTACTATTATTCTCCATCATTTGATGCTTTTGAACTCTCTCTTCTTGAAACTTTGTCCTCTCTTTACTCCACAACGCCCCTCTTTCCTGTTTTTCTTCCTATCTTCCTGAACATTCCTTCTCAGTTTTCTTTGCTAGCCTAGGTCCTCTGCCCTCCCTCCAAGTCTTTTTCTTTTCTTTTTGGTTTTTCTTTTTGAGGCAGGGTCTTGCTCTGTTGCCCAGGCTGGAATGCAGTGGTGAGATCTTGGCTCACTGCAACTTCTGCCTCCCAGGTTCAAGCGATTCTCACACCTCAGCCTCCCCAGTAGTTGGAACTACAGGCATGTGGCACCACACCTGGCTAAGTTTTTTCTTTCTTTCTTTTTTTTTTTTTTTTTTTTTTGTATTTTTGGTAGAGATGGAGTTTCACCATGTTGCCCAGGCTGGTCTCCTGGGCTCAAGTGATCTGCCTGCCTTGGCTTCCCAAAGTGTTGGGATTATAGGCATGAGCCACCATGCCCTGCTTCCCTGCAAGTCTTTGATTCTCAACCCCAATGCCATGTTAGAATCACCTGAAGGGCTTATCTATTTATTTAGACGGAGTCTCGCGCTGTCACCCAGGCTGGAGTACAGTGGTGTGATCTCGACTCACTGCAAGCTCCGCCTCCCAGGCTCACACCATCCTCCTGCCTCAGGCGCCCGTCACCACACCCAGCTATTTTTTTTTTTTTTTTTTTTTTTTTTGTATTTTTAGTAGAGACGGGGTTTCACCATGTTAGCCAGGATGGTCTAGCTCTCCTGACCTTGTGATCCACCTGCCTCAGCCTCCCAAAGCGCTGGGATTACAGGCATGAGGACTTTTACAGCTCACTCCCAGAGATTCAGATTTAGTTGGCCTGGGGAGGAGCCCAGACACCAGTGTTTTTCTTTTTCCTTTTTTTTTTTTTTTTTTTTTTTGAAATGGAGTCTAGCTCTGTCGCCCAGGCTGGAGTGCAGTGGTGCCATCTCGGCTCACTGCAAGCTCCACCTCCCGAGTTCACGCCATTCTCCTGCCTCCGCCTCCTGAGTAGCTGGGTCTATAAGTGTCAGCCACCACACCTGGCTAATTGTTTGGTATTTTTAGTAGAGACGGGGTTTCACCCTGTTAGCCAAGATGGTCTCGATCTCCTGATCTCGTGATCCACCCGCCTCAGCCTCCCAAAGTGCTGGGATTACAGGTGTGAGCCACTGTCCCCTGCCAACACTGGTGTTTTTCAAGCTCCCCATTTCATCCAAATGTGCTACTAAGGTTGAGAATCACTCCTTTAAATGTGGACATTCCCTAAGACCTCTACTCTTAAGCCTCTTCAAACTTGTCTTTCCCAAGTAAACAACCTCTTTCCCACGGCCTTAATTACCATCTATCTGCTAGTAACCCTCAAATCCACATACCCTGACTAAACTTTTTTTTTTTTTTTTTTGAGACAGTTTCACTCTGTCACCCAGGCTGGAGTGCAGTGGCGGGATCTCCGCTCACTGCAACCTCTGCCTCCCGGATTCAAGCAATTCTCCTGCCTCAGCTTCCCCAGTAGCTGGAACTACAGGCACACACCACCACACTGGGCTAATTTTTTTTTGTATTTTTAATAGAGACAGAGTTTCACTATGTCAGCCAGGCTAGTCTCGAGCTCCTGACTTCAAGTGATCCACTCGCCTTGGTCTCCCAAAGTGTTGGGATTATAGGCATGAGCCACTGCACCCAGCCCAAAACTCTTTTGAATGCCACACATGTATTTCCAACTCCCTACCAGACTTCAGGTGTACGGAGATAAAGTTCTTCAATTCTCTTAATCTCCTGGATATCTTTATTGAGATATACCCCAGACTCTCAAAGTACGTGTCTCAATCAGATCTTAGTATTTCTGCACTCTCCCCAAATCTATTCCACCACTTCTATTCTCCATCTCTGTCATCATCCCACCGTTCATCCAAGGCAAGAACCTGGTGGCCATCCAGGAGTCTTCTCCTCAGTCAGCTCCCACATCCAATCAAGCACAAAATCCTGTCCATTCTTTCAGAGGCCTTATCTAGTCTGTCACTCCTCGGTGTTCCCACCACCATTGCCATAACTCGGGTCCTCCATGTCTCTTGCCTGCACAGTTGTAAGAACCGTCTCCCTTGGCTGGGTGTGGTGACTTATACCTGTAATCCCAACACTTTGGGAGGCTAAGGGGGGTGGATCACCTGAGGTCAGAAGTTTGAGACCAGTCTGGCCAACATGGTGAAACCCTGTCTCTACTAAAAATACAAAAATTAGCCAGGCATGGTGGTGCATGCCTGTAATCCCAGCTACTCAGGAGGCTGAGGCAGGAGAATCGCTTGAACCTAGGAGGCAGAGGTTGCAGTGAGCCAAGATCGTGTCATTGCACTCCAGCCTGGGCCACAGAGCAAGACTCCACATAAAAAAAAAAAAAGGTCAGGCACAGTGGCTTACGTCTGTAATCCCAGCACTCTGGGAGGCTGAGGCAGGTGGATCATCTGAGGTCAGGAGTTCAAGACCAGCCTGGCCAACATGGTGAAACCCTGTTTCTACCAAAAATACAAAAAATTAGCCAGGCCTGGTGGTGGACGCCTGTAATTCCAGCTACTCAGGAGGCTGAGAGAGGAGAATATCTTGAATCCAGGAGGCGGAAGTTGCAGTGAGCTGAGATCCTACCATTGCACTCTAGCCTGGGGGGAAAAAAAAAAACCTCCTCCCTGGTCTCCTGGTCTCCAGTGTTTCTGGTTGCACCCTTCCCCCATTCTCTGTATCATCCTCAGAGCTATTTTTCTGAAATGCAGATCACTCCATGTGAAAGCCCTTCAGTGGCCCCCAGCTCACAGGGTGACAGCCTAACTCCTTGGCACAGCCCTTTACTCTCTTTCTCCTTCTGCTGGCCTTTCTCCCAATGTACCCTCCCTACGCCCTCCTCTGTACTTCAGTGGAGTTCTCCAGATGTGCCAGGCTGTTCCACACCTCAAGGCTTTTGAACATGCTATTCCCCCTGCTTGAATGCCTTTCCTTCTCTTTGCCCATCCCATTTTGCCCATATTTATGTTAACTGGAGCACCATCTCCTCTATGAAGTGTCACCTGGCTCTTCAGACTGAAATGACCACTCTTTTTCTGTGCTGCTGCACCCTGTAGTTACCTCTATAAGTGTCTCTCACTCTGCTTCACTTCCATGTTCTCATGCCTGTCCCCCAATATTGGGCAACGATCACCTGGAAGGCATGGACCCTGTCTGTGAGCAGTGGAGTTAGGCATAGGGAGACCAGACTCCGCATTCTGTCATGAGTTTACAGGCAATTCAATTCCCTTAGCTACAGCACTTGGTTAATAATGTGTTGGTTGGCTGGGTACGGTGGCTTATGCCTGTAATCCCAGCATTTTGGGGGGCCCAGGCGGGTGGCTCACCTGAGGTCAGGAGTTTGAGACCAGCCCGGCCAACATGGCGAAACATGGTCTCTACTAAAAATACAAAAATTAGCTGGACATAGTGGCACAAACGTGTAGTCCCTTGTGTAGCTGAGGCAGGAGAATCACTTGAACCTGGGAGGTGGAGGTTGCAGTGAGCCGAGATCGTACCACTGTACTCCAGGCTGGGTGACAGAGCGAGAATCTGTCTAAAAAAAAAAAAAAATGTTGGCTTATGGCTCTGGATTTTGAAGGGTAGCTTCTTTCCTCCTGGAGCCAGGGAAGAGAGGCTAAGTATTAGGGAAGAGACCCAAACCTGCCACTAGCCAGTCATGCTACCCCTAGCTTCCTCCCTGAGTCCGCCTCAGTGATACTGACTCTCTAGGCCCCACAGCTGGGAGCTCTCACTGCCACACTCCCGAGGCCCCTCCTGGCCCAGCTGAGGTGAGTAGAGTCTTCTTTCTCCTCTTTCACATGAAATCAGCTTGGAATGGCTCCAAAGGAGCCTTCAGAGAGAAACCAAGAGAAACTAAAAGTAAGCAAGCAAACTGACCCCCAAACACTTAGAGTTACAGAAATGGACAGAATGAGGATGTCTGATTCTAATTTGTCTCCCCTGCCTAAGAGAGCACATTCAAGGGTCACCTTCTCTCCTCACCCAGGAAAGGGGCTGGGCAGGAGTCCTAGCTCCAACCTCAGAAAGGAGGGCAACTGAAAAGGTTGCAGTTCTTATAGCCAGGGAAATTGAAGCAAGTCCTCATCCTCCACAGGAGTGAAAAGACAAGGCCATTAGTGGACACTTGCCTTAGAAAATGCCAGGGGCCCAGACTATAACCCACAGAGAGAGTGTGGTCTCCAGGTCAGCCAGGACAGTGTTGGCCTTACTCATGGCCGGATCCACAGTGACTGACCCTTAATTGGGAATATTCGAGAGCTCGTGTCACATATCAATACCGTGCCAAACATCAGATGTGCCTGAGTAACCCTCACAACAACCCTATGAAGTAGGGACTATTATTATTCCTGTTACAGATGAGGAAACTGAGTCTCAGAGAGGCTGTGACTTTTCCAAGACCACAAAGCTAATAAGCACTAAGCCAGGATTCAAACTCAGATCATCTGTCTCCAAACCCCAGGCTCCTAACCTCCATGGTGCCCTGTGTCACAGACATAGCAGATGATTATTCAATAATTGCTGATAGTAATAATTGCTAACAGTTATTGAATATTTAACAATGTGCTGAGCACTGTGACATACATTATTTTGTTCAGTAGGTATATTATTATCCATGTTTTATAGAAGAGGACACTGAGGCTTAGAGAAGTTAAGAGCACTGTCCACGATCCCAATGCTAGTTTAAAAGAACTGGCATACAAACTCAGGGGGCATAGATACATGAATGACCAGAGGCACAGAAAATTCCCCCGCCAGCACCACTACCAACCTGGAGAATGTCCATGAAGGAAAGAGAAGCCCTTTCCAGGAGCTCCAACAAAGTGGCTGACACCTTGATCAAGGATCTGCGGGCCTTTATCACATGTCCTGGCAAAGGCAGTTCCAATCTGGACTGCCGTCAGGCTCAGGACCGAGCCGTACTCAGAAGTGTCCCTAGGACGCTGGGCCAGTTTCCTCTCTTTTCTGCAGGCGTCTCCAGAGCACCCTCTCACCAGCTGTATCTACTCACAATCTTCTGGCATTTGGAATCTGGTTGAATTTGGGTCCCTCAATACTCAGAAAAATCAGAGTCTCCAGGACCCGCCCCTAAGCAGGAATTTTTCAGATCTCCCTTCTGGATCCTTTGGTCCCTAAGCCTCTGGCTTTGGCATTCTTGGTGGGAATCCTAGCAGAGAGCCCTCCTGGTACCTAAGGAAAGAGGGAGAGAGAAGGGAAGGAGCAGAGTCGCCTCCCTCTTCCTCACCCTTCCGGAAAGCCTAGCTGGCCACCCCACCCCCACTCCGCAGTTTCTCACCTTCAGGCAAAGGCAGATGATGGCAGAGCTGGGGAGCAGAACTTAACTGAGCCATGGGGCACAGCAAATCCCTGCCATTAGTATTTAGGGAATGTGAGTCCCAGAGGATGAGGGGGAGAAAGAGGTAGTGGGAGAGGAAGGCGGAGGTGCTCAGAGACTCAGAGATCACCAGGAGGGGTTGCAGAGAGACAGAAGAGGAGGGTGTGGTGGAAAAGAAACACTGAGGTGGGTGGGAGAGAGGCAGAGAAAGCGGGGAGGGAAGAGAGACAGAAAGAGCCAGTTGCTTTATTCATGGCTGTTGATATTATAGACTGAGTGAAAATCACATTATCGTAATGGGAAAGTTAGAGTTGCTGAGATGATGCCCTGAAGCCTCTGCGCTGATTGGGGTGTGATTGCTATCTGTATTTATATGTAGAAAGCAAAGTTCACTGCCAGTTCAAGATGGTGGCGGCTGCTTTATGCAACATAATTCTTCAGTAGGGAGACGCCCCGAGCAAGCTGAGCACACCGGGCCGGGAGTGGGAACGGGAGCCGGATCGGGAGCCAGCGATAGAGCAGGCGGTGGAGCCTGGGGTGGAGCCGAGCGGGGCTCAGCTGCGGAGGACGGAGGCCAGGAACCAGAGAGGGAGCCGGGGCAGCGCCGGGGGCCCGAGCCCAGCCCGAGGCCTGACGCGGGTGGGGCAACGGGGGGCTGGAGAGCTTGGGGATTTAGGGGTCAGAAAGAGCCCCTCCTACCATCTGCCCCCCTCAGGCCCGCCCAGAGTTAGAGTCCCCGGAAGGGAAAATAGGAGAAGCTGGTGCCCCAAAGGCAGGGCTGGGCTAGACCTTTCTAAACCTTGACCGGATTGACTCCACCCTCGCCCGCACGGTCTAATTCAGTGCTAAATCGTTCAATGAATGCCAGGAAGGTTTCATTTCTTCCCATGCTGACGGCTTGAAGCTTTTTTTTTTTTTTTTTTTTTTTTTTGAGATGGAGTTTCACTCTTTTTGCCCAGGCTGTAATGCAATAGATCTCATCTCACAGCAACTTCCGCCTCCCGGGTTCAAGTGATTCTCCTGCCTCAGCCTCCTGAGTAGCTGAGATTAAAGGCGTGCGCCACCACACCCGGCTAATTTTGTATTTTTAGTAGAGACGGGGTTTCACCATGTTGGCCAGGCTGGTCTCGAACTCCTGACCTCAGGTGATCCGCCCACCTAGACCTCCCAAAGTGTTGGGATTACAGGCGTGAGCCACTGCACCCGGCCAAATGTCTGTGCTGGTGCACCACTTGTGGTTGAGCAGCCTAGTGCTGGGACGAAAAATCCCTTTTGATTGGTAAATGGGTGTGATCTCTGACGTCCTCAGCACAAAGCCTGGGAGGCTGGACAGGGTAGCCCAGACTCCAAGCCCTGCCTCTTCCTAGCCACACTCAGGAAGGGAGAAAAGGGCTCTCAGCACAGCCAGCACAATCTGATTGAGCTCAGACCATCCCTTACTTGAGGCCTGTACCTCTCAGGACTTACTTAGGAAACCGGGGCAGAGCTGGGCCAGGCTTCCCATCAAGTCACCCCACTTCCCATCAAGAAGTGCCAGATAAAATACAGGACACCTGACTGAATTTGAATTTCAGACAGACAATAAATTTTTAGTGTAAGTATATCCCACACACTATTTGGGATGTACTTATACTTAACTATTTGTTGTTTGTCTGAAATTCAAATTTAATTGGGCATCCTGTATTTGTATTTGCTAAATCTGGTAACCCTACCCTACCCCCACCTTGCTCACTGACCTCAGGTTTTGTATTGACTGAGGAAGGCAGTGCCCTTGAGTGGAAACAGCCAGATTCCCCAGTTAATAGCTATGTGGTCTTGGACTGGTTTTTAACCTCTTAGATTCTCAATCTCCTTATCTTAGATTATCAATCTCCTTATCTGAGAAATAGGAGATAATACCACCTACCTCACCGGATGGTTATAAACATTTAATGAAATAAAGTAAGTAAAAGATTCAGTTCACTGTCTGACACAAAACAAATGACCAAAAAAAAAAAAAAAACTAAAAAAAAAATCCTCAAAATATGACACTCAGTAAACAGCAGCTATAAAAGATCAGCTCCCTTACAAAGGTTACCCTTTCTTACATTCCCATCACCATCCTAAGCTTCTTAGAAGTCAAGTAAAAGGCTTATATCAAGATTCATGTCTTAGAAGCTGCTGCCTATGTGGGGGCATCCCAGGGATAGATATGATCTTAGTATGGGTCCCCCGTGGTAGAGCCTGACCCTATAAGCTCCACTGAGAGTTCTGGAAAGCTGATTGCAAGGATGAAGCAGGCACTAAGAGCCAGCCCTGTCCCCAGCCTCAAACCAAGCCCCACATGTTTCCAACTACTCTTCCAAGCTTCCAAAACAAAATAGAATCGATCCTCCTTTTGGCCTCCAAACTTTCCTTTCTCCCAGGGAGATGGCGGATGGGGCAGGGTGGTGATATGATGATGCTGGGCAGGAAGGAGGGCTCTGCCTACCTGAGAGGCTACACAATGGACTGAGCAAGGAGTCTACCCAAGGGCCATCCCAACAGCATGTCAGGCCAAATCCCTTTCCATCCTCTGGCAGGGGCCCATGTCCAGGACACACCAGTTGGAAACAAGTGTGTCCCTCAGGGTCTCTGGGCTTGTTCTCGTTCTAGCTCTCATATCTCAGCCTCAGCTCAAACCCACTTGATGAAGGAAGAGGCAGTGTGCAAAATAAGGGTTTTGGAGTCCCACGGAGGCAGCCTGGAGGCTAGTATCACTATATGATTTTGGACATTTCTCTCATGGAAGGTTGGGACTTGTTTACTTCCCTTGTACAGATGTTTTTGACTCAGAAGAAAAAAAGGTGGCTTCCAGTACCCTTCAGTCCCAGAGAAGCTGGTGGCTGGACCCCAGCCATTATCTCTGAGGGAAGTTAATGATTCAGAAGCCAACTGATGGACAAATAGAGGCCTGTCTCCTTTTCTTCAAGAGATCACAGAGTCAAGACTTGAGTGCTAGGCAGATTATAAAAGTGACACAAGTAGTGAAATGCAGTAGAGTGGCAGGGTCTGTGGCTGCACCTGAGAAGCATGTTTTCCTAAAGGTATTCAATTTCGTGTTTGTTTTAAACACTGTGCTATCAAACCAAACACCCAAGTGCTCTTCGGGCAACCCCCTAGTTTCTTGTTCTTCACACAGGTATCCTCAGCCACATGGTCACCAAGTACTGTCACAGAGTAGAGAGATAACACACGTGCAGATACACTGACCCCTAAGGATGTGCAGAGCCATCTGTAAGTATACCAATACCATGCCCCAAAGGAGTAGAGAGTCTGTAAAGAAAGCACAAGGACACTCACAAGGGAGTGGCCCATCTCCAGGCAGCCTGCCTTCCTGTCCACCTCCTGCCAGCCTCCCACCTCTTGCCTCCTCTTCCTTGTTTGCTCACTGGCACCAAGTCTGCTGCTCACACCGTCTCATCCCCTCACCCCTCTCTCTGGGAGTGGAACTCTCTCTTGCCTTCTGGTGATGCACCATTCCTGGAGGTCCTGCAATACCAGGTTGATGCATAGGAGTGGATGGAGAAAGCTCCTTTTCCATCCCCCTGCTCCAAAAACCCATTTAATTTCTTGTCCTCAGATAGAGGATATATCAGATGTTAAGCTGGTAAAAACATACTACATTTGATCTTAGCCATAAAACCGAGAGGTGATAGGAGTGGAACTGTATAGAACCCAAAGGGTGTGAGTGGATATGGTGGGGGTGGGGTGCTCTAAACAGCTGACCCCTGTAGTAGCACCATCACACATGCATCTGGGGACCCCAGGACATACCCTCCTGCTTTTTTGATCCTCACAACAAGCCTGTTCTGGAGCTTCTGTGGAAAATTGTGCCTTCTGGGGAAAGATGTGCCTTTCCCCTCTTTAAGGCACACCTTTCACTCTGGAGCCCTGGAGTAGAACTTAGCTCCTCTATTCAGTCATCAGCTAAAAATTCAGGAATTCCACAAAAGCTCCTAAATTCTCAGGGTCCTAGAAAAAGTCACTGAAAGTTCATCTCTGCCATTCTCCTGCCTCCAGGCAAGGGTGATCCTCTTCATGGAGACAAGTGGCACAGAGAATCTACACACTCCCTTGGCCCTACTTAGCCTTGATATCAGGAAGTTGAACTCTAGTCCCAGCGATTTGATCCATGTTTGTTAGTAACTCCACCAGGATATGTGAAGCTCCTCTCCCAGGGAATACCTAGGCATCCTCAAGACCTCCTGGGTTCCTCCCCGGGGGACCATGCCATAAAGCAGAAGCCCCAGGTACTCAGGCCATTGACCCCAGAAGGATCCCAAGAGGGGATGTAGAGTCTGGGCTTTTCCATGCTCTTTCTGGTATATTTCCTCTTTGGCCATCAGGGCTAGAACCTAAGCAACCTCTTCCCAGGCTTAGTCATTTCAGCAAAACAGAAGTAGATCAATCAAATGCAATAAATAAAAGAAAATAAATTAAAATCCAAGACTCTTGCAAAGATCCTGATAACTGATTTCTGAATGATTCACTGGCGTTTTCTGTGCTCCTGTCCCTTTCCTTTCCATGATTATAAATAATGTCGATCATCACCAGTGTCTTTTTGAAGCTGGGATGTCACCACATTAGAGAATGAGTACCCAATCACATGGGGGTGGGCCAGGAGGCAGTAGACAGCCCAACAAATACGATTTTGTCATCTTAGAGGTGAGGAGAAAGTCCAAGGACCTCTGTCTTGTCTTGGAGACATGAGTCTTTGAGGATGAAACTGAGCTGTCTCCAAGGGCAGGAGGTTTGTCTGGCAGCTAATTTCTTCAGATTCCTCTGAGGTTCCTATTTTATGTCCCATTTGGGCTTTGTCAGTGCAGCTATGTTTGGGGACTGTGTATGTGTCCCTGATTCCTAGAGTGACCCAGCAAAAGGAATTGAGGTTTGAGGGAGAATATTCTGCTGTGGTAGAGGAAAGATGAGGCACCTGCCCCAGAACCACCCCCAACTCCCCTCACTGGCCAGAGAAGAGAGAAAAGAAAATAGCCCCTGCCCCTGGGACACAGAAAGGCTAATCTGCTCAAAAGCTGGAGGCTGGATAAAATGACCCCTGCCTGGTATGGATGTCAAAGAAATGTCTCTGAGGAAATGTCATTCCACTCCCCCCGAGGGCCCTGGAGGTGGTTGGTAATCCACCCGTGCTCCCCCCACTCAAGTACCCCCCACAACCCACTCCCCTGCAACACACGCACACATGCGTGCACATACACACACACGCATACACATAAATCTTAATTGTGTCCAGGGCTTTTTATGGCGTTAATTAATCATATTTAGGGCTGTTTCCAGCTGTTGCTGAGGGAAGGAAGGTCCCACACGCCTGTGACTTAGGGTAAATCCAATCAGATGGAGGAATTTTTTGATTCTGAAGAAGCCGAGCATGGGAAAGCCACTGCTAATCCCAGAGCCTCTCTTGTTCCTGCTTGTCACCTCCCCATCGCTGCCTTTGGAAACTGATCTGAGCTGAGGAAGGGGACAGGAATGGGATGCAGAAGTGGGCATAGGGCTTTGCTGAGCTGAGCTGACTGCCTGGGGCCCTGCTTCAGATGAAAGGAGGGTTGATGGGAAGGAGGGATTAGGGCTTTGGTGCTGACCAGGAGCTTCTGCCCCTGTACTTAGGCCATTTAGTGAGCTCGGGAGAGCCCCTGATTCCTGAATAGCTACTGGGCCCAAGAGCTATTACAGGAGGCTGGGCCTGGAATAGCAGACCAGTAGGTGGGCAGAACTGACCTAATTACAGCTCTGCACAGTCCGTGTGGTCTAACAGGGGGCCTTGCCCAAGCCTTTCTTCTTGCCTGTGCCTTCTCCCAAAACCCCAGCGGCGACACTCTCGGCTCCCTCAGGCTCTCATGTGTGTCTCTCTGCATCTGGGCCTGCTTTAT